CACACACACACACACACACACACACACACACACACACGCACACGCACACCGGGTTGCTTGGTTGTACTTTCTCTCTCTCTCTCACACCCTAAATATCATACCAATAAAAGTATGTCCTAATGTTCCACAACACTAAAATGCTCCATGTTACAAGACTACCTCTTTTCTCTCACACACACACATATATATGCACACAAAAAGAACATTCTCTTTTATTCAAAAATAACAGCTACTCTTTATATAACTGCCACTTGCATGCTACAGGGGGCGAAGGCAAGGGTGGAGAAGTCCGAAAGTGCGCAGGCTTGGGCACAGGTTGAAATGACACTTGCAACAGATGTGTCTCACCCTACTTCTAAACCTCACCAATAACGCCTCCTTTATCAATCAACCATATACAAACTACGGGCTGCGCACCCGTGCCCTCACGGTAAGTCAATTGGCTTGCCCCCCCCCCATTGGTCTTGGTAGGGGGTGCCCTCCCTCCCATCCAGCGCTAGGGGTTAGGATTGACCCTGAGGGGATAGGCTCAACCGCTAGCAGATTTACCCTTTCAACCCATAACCCTTAGTGTACCGCGCCTTGCGTGCATAGATGTGGTTTGTTGTCTATAGGTAACATGTCATTATTCCGGGATAGGCTAGACCCTTGTTTGTCGAGTTTGTGGGTAGACCAGTGCATGTGAAAAAAACAAAAGAAAAGAACCAATGTTGTTACAAATAAGTAAACTTGCTTTCCCTACGCCCACAACATGCCAGTTATCCCCCCCCACTTTGTGCAGTTTTCCTCTCTCCTCCTGCGCCATTTACTGCTCCTCTTCTGTGGCCGTGTATGTCCACCTTGGTTTACTCACATAGGTGGGAAAAACAACAGTCCTGATGGGACAGCACAAAACGAGGCTCGGCAGCAGAGGACTGGATGTTTGGACGTAAGTTCGTTAAAATAGGTTTGTGGATAGTAGTAGTTTAAATGGATACCCACTGGGACTGGGATCATGCATGCGAGAAGGCCTTCAAGAAATTGACGGCACTTTAATCAATCTCCCTGTCCACCAGTACATGGCCCCAGCCAACTGGAGAATCACGGTTGATCACTCCAAAGATTTTGGAGACTTGGGACAGGGCCTACCTGCTTGCAGGTGGGAAAAAGAATTGTCCCATGCCTTGGGGTGGCACCACGCACAGCACCAAGCAAAAAACAATTTCCGCCCACCGCCAGACGGGCCCTGTCCCGATTCCCCGAACTCTTAGGAGTGATCAATCGTGATTCCCAAGATGCACTGGTGGTTTAAGACAGCACAACCAGATAAGCCTTTCGTTGTGAGCACTGACGCCAACCACCCGCACTTTTTTGGGGTGGGGTGGGGTGGGGTGTTGCGTGTGTGTGCGTGTGAGAGGGAGGGAGAGAAAGGCAAGAGTTCACGGGCCGAGAATGCACTTTGCTGTAGGAAACAAAAGACTGTTCACGGGCAGAGAACGCACCTTGCTGTAGGAAACAAAAGACTATGTTTGGAAAGAAAAAATGAAGCATGCACCTTCATCAT